GACCTTTCAGAAAAAAAAAGAAGGGTCCAGACCCGAAACGTCAGCTTTCCTGCTCCTCTGATGCTGCTTGGCCTGCTGTGTTCATCCAGCTCTACACCTTGTTATCTCAGGGTATAAGGATAGTCTCAGTAATAGTGACCGTGAAAGCGATCATCGATTGTTGTAATAACCCAACAGTTCACTCGGATCTTTATCTGGTCTGGCCTACATGTGACATCAGGCCACAGAGCGTTGAATTGACTCCGAACTACTTCCTGAAATGGCTCTAACAGGCCACTCAGTACAAGGCCAATAAAAAGACAGGCTACAAATGCTGTCCTTTCCAGCAACACCCACATCCCATGAAATAATTAATTTAAAAAGCACAGACATACCACTAGCAGCGAAGAGTAACCAGCCAATTGCGCAAAGCTTCTTAAAGGTACTTTCAAAGCATGTGAAGCAGTAATGAAAGGTGCTGAAGAAGCAATCTGTTTATTCTGTTTCACACAATAGGGGAACAAGATACAATTTGGAATGATGATAACTGTAAATGCAGTGATTACCGAAGAGAACCACACTCAAAGGAAATGCTGCTGATAAAGTAAACGCTAATAGCACAGGGATCGTTCTCTCCCCGTACTCCTTTACAGTGCAACCCCTCATTGAGATCAATGAATGTGCTCGATTCAAAAAATTTACAGATAAAATACACAATCAACAGAAAATTCTCCACTCCCCATCAAACACAACACAGTCCAAACAGACGACAATAGACTCAGCTCATAACACAGAGAGGTTCCAATCTGTTAATCCCCTTAAACGAGGTCATGTGGAGATCATGCACGGGCTATTTAACTGTCTGTGTGTATCTTCCTTCACATTTTGACTATACTGTGCTGTATAACCTTGCAAGTTTATTCTCTGCAATACATGTTCATAGAATCCCGACAGTGTGGAAACAAGCCATTCAGTACATCAAGTCCACACTGACCCTCCAAAGAGCATCACACCCACACCCAACCCATCCCCTTAAACCCTGCATTTCCCATGGCCAATCCACCTAGCCTGCACATCCCTGGACACTCTGGGAAATTTAGCATGGCCAATCCACCTACCCTGCACATCTATGGACTGTGGGACGAAACCCACACAGACAGTCACCCGAGGGTGGAATTGAACCCAAGTCCCTGGTGCTGTGAGGCAGCAGTGCTAACCACTGAGCCACTATGACACCCTAACTGTGTTGTGCAATGACCGATAAAGTGCAAATGGCCTCGGTTGAGAAACAGTACTAGGAGATTGGGCCTACCATGGCTGCTGTGTTGCGATAAGATATTACAACGTCCCAGAATCTCAGGTCATGGACGTGAATTTCACTGCTCTCCCTGCCTGCAGAGGGCACAGATACACAGGCACAAACACTGGCTGCACTCCAGGCTCTGAAATGACTGGAGATAGCCCTCACTGATGTGGAGCCTCAGGGCTAAGAGGCCTGCTTTTCAGGTGAAATTGGAACCGAATGCATCTGCGATGCCTTCCATTATCAAACAGCCTGCCAGCACGCACGTTGGTTGGGTCGACTAGCCGAGGGAAGCTGGCAATGTGAAATTTGTTCCTGTGTTGGAGCATTGCCTTCGGTGGAGTCTCGGGGGAGGGGGGTGAGGGAGACACTACAGTCGGGTTGTGTAAGTAAGGAAGGCTTAACAAGGTCCTGTCAGCTAACTCCATTATTGTGAGGCATTCTTCTTAAAACATGTTCAACAATTGTCACTTTTCTTGAACACACGGTTATCAAACTTGACTTTTTACACAAACCCACATTCATTAAATGACAGGGCTTTGGAGGCGGGGGGGGGGTTGATTCATGAACTTATAAACATTCCATTTTGATCTAAAAACAATCAAAAGCATAAAACGAAAGCCCCCCCAAAACCAGTCCTTTTCTTTTGGTTGAAAGTTACGCTGAGCATGCAGGTAGTTCTTGCTACCAACCTGCCCCTCTGCTGGCAGACGAGCTCCAGACGCTGGTTCCCTGAGACACACACGGCTCGGCACTTTCCCTTGGCACCACCATTGGCTTTGAGATCGCTGCTTTCACGACAAACTCTTCAGAGACCTCCTCGATCGACGAGATGTCCAGGTCACTCTCATCATCATCATCGGATAGCTGCCAAAAGAAAGCGGGGACAGTTTGACTACAGGGAACTGCATGAGAAAGCTGGCATGGGGAGAATGAGTACAGCACGAAATATAATGAAAGCGTATGGATGGTCTGCATGTGAACGGGTGAGCGAGTGATTGGACTTAATTTTTAAGATGTTTGCCAAGCTGGGAGGTTTGATAGCAGACATTTCGTCCCCTTTTACAAGGTGACATCCTCAGTGCTGCGGAGCCTCCTGTGAAGCGCTATCTTGAAGACAAACTCTTTGGAGACCTCCTCAATCAATGAGATGTTCTGGTCTCTTGAAGACAACAGCGCATCACAGGAGGCTCCACAGCACTGAGGGTGTCACCTACTAAGGGGACGAAACGTCTGCTATCCAACCTCCCAGCTCGGTGAACACATCAACATCTACAACCAGCACCCAAGCTACAAATCTTCACTCAAACCCTGGCTTAATTTCTGTTTGGATGAGAGCACCACTAGCTAGTCCAGCATTTATTACCCAGAAGGCAGTTGAGAGTCAACCACATTGCTGAGGGTCTGGAGTCACATGTAGGCCAGACCAGGTAAGGAGGACAGCTTCCTTCCCTAAAGGGCATTAGTGAACCAGATGGGTTTTTCCTGACAATAAACAATGGAATCACAGTCATCATTACAGTCCTAATTCTAGAAGTTTATTGAAATCAAATTCCACCATCTGCCGTGGCGAAATTCAAGCCTGTGTCCCCGCAACATTACCTGGGTCTCAGGATTACCCGTCCAGCAATAATACCACTAGGCCATTGCTTCCCCTGATGATCACATGTACTGGAATACAGTGAAATGTATTGTTTTGCGTGCTATCCAGGCAAATCAAACCTTCCGTAAGTATACCAGGGTAATAGAACAGAATGCAGAACATAGTGTTACTGCTACAGTGAAGGTGCAGAGAAAGATCAGCTCTAATATACGAGAGGTCCGTTTGCAAGTCTGATAACAGCAGGGAAGAAGCTGTTCTTGAATCTGTTGGTACATGTTTTCAAACTTATCTTGTGCCCAACGGAAGAGGGCGGAAGAAACTGGGGTGGGAGGGGTCTTTGACAGTGTTGGCTGCTTTCCCGAGGCAGCGGGAAGTGTAGGCAGCATGTGTTTATGTGCATGAACACACAAGTGAGTGTGTGCAAGTGTGACAGTGAGCGAGCGAGTTCATGTCTGCATCTCTCCGCGCTCTGGTAGCTTCCTGGCTCAAGCCTTCTGTGAGGTGGTCACTTAAAGCCACAAGGAAGTAACGGATGGCCATCCAGTGGGGTCCAAATAGACAAACGCTGCAGGAATTCCGTTTTTCACCGCCCCACCGCACCGAGGGTTTACAGTGAGGGTCACCAAATATTGAAGAGGCACATGGCATTGTGTGGTTAAGGATTGGAGCGGGGTGGGGGGGGGGGGCCAGAACCAAATCCAAGAATACAGCGGCCACAGGGGATCCAAATGACCAAGACATTTCCACATTTGACATGAGTTTGATAAGGTTTGCTGCTTCCTTGATGTCAGGTGTCCCTGGATGGGGCGTGAGGGGAGATTCTGGGGGCAGAACAGGAAGAGTCAAAACTCATGGATCATGTGAGAAAAAGCAATATTGGAAGGTAAAGGCACAAGGGAGTTTGCAGTCAGAGTTTTAGGAGCCAGGAACTTTTTAAAAGAAGTTTATAGTTCCTGGGTTACTGATGCTGGACAGCATAGGAACTCAGGTTAAAACCTGGTAATACAGAGACAAATGCACATACATGACACAGACAGGACACCACCAGTATTCTGGGCATTGAAACAAACACAGAGAACAGTGGTGAAACGCAGCAGATCTGACAGCATCTGTGGACAGAGAAACCGAGTTTAATGTTTCGAGTCTGGTATGACTGTTCTGAAGCAGTTTCACCAGCAATCTCTGTGCTGGTCTCGGATTTCCAACATCTGCAGTATTTTGCCTTTATCTTGGGAATTGAGACCAATCCAGGGGCAGGAGGGACCTGTTCGATGTCCTCAGGAGGAGGTTAATTTGTGCTGTGGGAAGGGTTTGGAGAAATTTGTCAGGGTTTGGAGGGATGAAAGTGGCTGGGTATGTGCAGCAGGCTGAACATCAGAGTTGAAGAACAGGGTACACAGAGTTGTGGGACGGACAAACAGTGCAATAAAGTGTCTCAGAAGTATGAGGAATCAGATCTAATCAGTATCTAAAATGGTGCGGGGGTGTGCGCACTTAACTGCACAGAACATGATTCGTAATTTAATTGAATTGCGAACATATGTTGCACAGGGCATTACAATATAATGGTGACAAGAGACCTGGCTCAAGCAAGGAGAGGTTTGGAGTTTAATATTCCTGGCTATGAGGTATTCAGGAATTGTAAGGAAGGGAAAAGTCAGCAATGACGGATGAAACCACGGGAAAGGAATGCTGCCACCAAGCAGAGACCAAAGACAGAGACCACTTGATTAGAATTAAGCAGCAGCCAGATTAACGATTACACCGCTGGATACTAAACACCATTAATGAATGAACAAGATAGGAGGATAAATCTACACAATACAAGGTGGGGAGGGAGGAGATGAGGCGAGGGAGTTTCGGTTATCCATCTGTGATAGCAGCAATGTAAAGGGTAAAGAGGGGGCAGGATTCCTGAAAACTGTGCACAAGAACTTTCTCAACAACATGCTTGCAGCTCGATGAGGAAGAAAGCAAGGGACTACTTTCATCAAGCTGAAAAGGGACCTGGCCTAGAGCGACTGGAATCAAACACTGGCAGACACGATACTGACTGAGCAGTAGATGGTTCAAGGACAGAATCAGCATGTTGTTTGAGAGCGATTTTTTTTTTTTAAGTAGATCTGCTTTTTAAAAAGAAAACGGCGAGTAAATTACAAGCATAAAAATCAAGTCTCTGGGCGGCCTTTTTGGTGAGCTTCCTGCGTAGTTATTTTCTTCCATTAATTCTATGGGTGTTGCCAGGATTTACTGTCCATTTCCAGTTCTCCTTGGATCCAGGAGTATGTGTTGGCTGCCAATCCCAGCCAGGTACTCCACACCTTTCGAAGAGAGAAATGTACAGGGCAAATGGAAAAGGCAGGTGAGTGGGACTGAGTGAGTTGCCGGTGAAGGCAGCTGGCACAGAAAAGATGGGCCAAATGGTAGTTGCCATTCTATAACCGTGTGTCTGTGCACAAACATAGACAACGCACATGGCTCAGATACTTACTGGGAGCAGAAAAGACTCTTCTGTGCCTCTCAGTGATGGCTACCCCCTTTTATTTGACAATTAGCCCCCTCTAAAACATTTCGCCTGCAAATGTCAATCCCTTGTTTTCTGCTTAAAAGTTTCACAAATCGGACTTTTGAATGGGTGTGTACAGTAAATCGTTTTGTATAGGCAGGGAAACTTACAGAGCCCATACAGTCCCTGTTCCTACCCCAAACTCAGTAAGTGGAAAGCATTTGAATATCAGCTATCTTTCATGGGCTTCAAGCAGGGGAAGAAATCAATTTCCGCCAATTAATGGCATCAATGGGGTCTTTACCTGCAACTTCTTGACGACGGTGCGGTTTTCAGGAGAGGTACGAGGTGCAGCTTGCGCTGTGGGTACAAGTCGAACTCCACCGGTCGGTTTCTTGGCTGGGAAGCGGAGTTGTCTCTCCAGGCTCTTTGTCAGACTTTGCACCTTGGTTCCTACAGGGTCGAGAGGGACGGGCATAAAGACGGAAGCGGCTCCGACGCCATCCCAGACGCCGCCGTTACCAAAATGACCACCATTGGCACCAAACCCACCATCACTACCCCCACCACCATCAACACGATCACCGGCATCGTCACTGTGCTGTTATCGTGCAGAACCAGGTCATTCAGCCTCATCGTGCCTACTCCTGTTTTATCACTTAATGCCTTGTCTCCACATCTCTGCACACCATTACCATCCAAATAATCCAATGTCTCAACTGAACCTCCAGTTCATTTCCAGACAGCGCAACCCATACCCCAACTACTCGCTGTGTGAAAAAGTCTTTCTCACATTACCCCTTTGCTTCTTTTGCACATCATTTTCAATCTACGTCTCTCTCGTTCTTGTTCTTTTTACGAGTGGGGGCAGCTTCTTGCTGTCTATCTACTCTGTTCAGCCCGCTCATGATTTTGGAAACCTCTATCAGATCTCCCCAGCGCCATCTTCTCTCCCAGCAAGAACAGCCCCAACTTCTTCGATCTATCCTCGGAGCTGAAGTCGTCATCAAAAACACTCTTCCCCAAAATTAAGAACACCCGAGATGGGACTTGAACTCACAATCCCTGGCTCAGGAGGCCAGTGCCTTGTCCTTCAGGCCACTGGGGACACACAAAAACTCACATTTCTGAAGAAGGGTCCCAACCCGAAACGTCAGCTTTCCTGCTCCTCTGGTGCTGCCTGGCCTGCTATGTTCCTCCAGCTCCACACTGTGTTATCTCTGACTCCAGCATCTGCAGTTCTTACTATCTCTCCCCAAAGTCAAGCCCAGGGTTGTCAATATCACTTGATTTTGCTGCTGCCACAATTGCAGAGTGTGGGAAGGGAGGAAAGTTGGCAGTGGGGGAGAAAGTGTGTCACCAGTCTAGGAAGGCCCTGCTAAAAACTCCCCAAATCAAAGAATATTCTGCCCCTTTGCTACCCCATGCACCTCCTCCCACTCAGGGCCCTTCTTGTCCACCCTTTCATACAAAAATAGAAGAAAGGAGCAGGAGGAGGCCATTCGGCCCTTCAAACCTGCTCAACTATTCGTCACGATCTTGGCTGATAGTCGAAACCAATAGCCTAATCCTGCTTTCTCCTCATAACTTTTGATACCATTCGCCCCAAGTGCTATATCTGGTCACCTCTTGAATACATTCTGAGGAAGGGTCACCAGACCCGAAACGTTAACTCTGTTTTCCCCTTCACAGATGCTCCAAGACCTGCTGAGCTTTTCCAGCAACTTTGTTTTTGTTCCTGATTTACAGCGTCCGCAGTTCTTTTGGTTTTTATCTTGAATACATTAAATGTTTTGTCATCAACTACTTCCTGTAGTAATGAATTCCACAGGCTCACCACTCTTTGGGTGAAGAAATGTCTCCTTATCTCCATCCTAAATCATCTACCCCAAATCCTCATACAGTGACCTCTGGCTCTGGACACACCCACCATCGGGAATATCCTCCCTGCATCTACCCTGTCCAGTCCTGTTAGAATTTGATAAGTCTCTATGAGATCCCCCCTCATTCGTCTGAACTCCAGCGAAAACAGTCCCAACCTAATCAATCTCTCCTCATACGTCAATCCCGCCATCCCTGGAATCAGCCAGGTAAACCTTCGCTGCACTCCCTCGAGAGCAAGAGCATCCTTCCTCAGAAAAGGAGACCAAATCTGCACACAACATTCCAGGTGTAACTTCACCAAGGCCCTGTATAACCTCCTCACTCCCAACTCCGGGGGCCTCACTGCCTCGTTTGCCACAGTCTTGGCCACTCCACTGCTCAAGCACAGCAACGAGCTGAGGAGGTTCGGGGGGAGGAATGAGGAGGGTGAACATCGGGCAGTGAGTGAAGTGACGGAGGTGACAGTAAGTAGGTAGTGGAGTGATGAGTGGGTAAGGAGGTAATTGGGAGTGGGGAGTCAAACAGGAGCAGCGGGGAGGAGGAGGAGGAAAAGGTGAGTGGTGAGGGGAGGGGGGCTGATGAGCTGACAGGGCGTGACAATCAGGAACTGCGCAAGGAGTTGGGCTGCCATGAGCAGGGCATTGGTGGGCAGGAGGGACAGCCAGCAGGTGAGTGGGTGGGTGAGGACAGAGCGAGCCATGGGAGGGGGCAGACAGCTGGGGGGGGGGGGGGGGGGGGGGGGGGGGGGGGG